TCGCCAAGAACCCCTCCTACACCTACTACATATACTACATGTATGCCAACATCACAGTGCTTAACCAGCTCCGCAGGTCAGTAATTTTGTCTTTTTATTAAAGTGCAGGACCACGATTTTTCTTGATGTGTTTCCCCTCATTTATTCATATGTTATCTCTGTAAATATGGAAGCCCTGAGAGGCATGTGAGGAAAAAGTGTTTTCTGGCAATCCGTTTTCTAATTTGGATTGAAGTTATTTTCTTGTGCTTTATGAATTGTGTTTTAATAGGTGAACGATTTGCCAGCATAATCTTTCTAAGTTCCTTGATTAAAAGTGTTACCTGGATCATTTTTGTAAATGTTTTTTTACCATCTGCTTTTGTTTGCTAGAAAGATGACAGTAATTTTACATAACATGTTAACACAATATATATTTACTTGCTATATTCAGATTTTGTGGAAAAATTAACCTTTGACTGGACTAACACATTCATATTTTGTTATCCTATCTTGAACATGGAGTAGTGGTGCATTACAGCACCATGTGGCTTTAGTGAGTAAGTCAGAAAACGACAAACAAAATGATCATGACCGAAAGGAATTTCATTAGCCAAAATCTTTTCCAGAGCTGTTTCACAAATGAAAACAAAATGTCAAGAACTGAGAAAGTTCCTGTGTCATACAGTACTATCAGGAGAAATTAGTCTTCCTTCACATATCTAACTTCTGTGAAAATGTTCCCAGTGAGTTTGTTGTAGAACATTTGTTTACCATCTGGTTTCCAGAGAGAGGGGGATGAACACTTTCACGTTCAGGCCTCACTGCGGTGAAGCCGGAGCCATCACCCATCTGCTGGCTGCCTTCATGACTGCTGACAACATCTCTCACGGCCTCAACCTCAAGAAGGTCAGTTCTCCAGTCACTTACTATGAAGTCAATTCAGCTTTACTTAGCGGAGACCACCATAGCTGCATTTAGTATACCATTCATACTTTAAACAAAGAAAACGTAGTTAGTGAATTATTTATTCTCGTATGGGTTTTCTTATTTGGATAAAAGTTTGAATGTAAGACAAGTCTGGAATGAAAACCTGTTAACCAGGGAGAGGAGCACCTTTATGGAAATAAAGTTGTGTTTCCAAAATGTTATGGCTACCAATATTCTTTTTATCTTTAAGGAACAATGCAGAGGTGCCGGCATTACATTTGGAAATATAATCAGGCACTAGAAGCACCCTATTATTTGATGTTGTAATGCTCTTTCCTCAATGACAACTTGTATTGTTCTAACAACCTTACACACATCTTCTGTATTCTCCACAATTACATATTATATTATTACAGACCTAAACATTTATAAATAAAAAATGTTCTTGATATAAATCATGTTCTTTCTCAATATATGGTATTTTAATATGTCTGATGAAGGATATTAAGACCCCATTCTTAAAGAAGTCTCATTTTTAAAAGGCTTAATGTCTGAAATAAAGATCCAAATGGGTGTTGTCCTGGATTGTTCTAAATATACATTGTATTGATGTTCAGGCGTTTAGCTGTATTCATTTCTATTGCACTTTCATATTGAAAACTAATAAACGTTTCTGTAAATACGGCAGTGTTAGCGAGCCAACTGCAGTCCTTTGGCGAGACAATTTTAAACCAGTGGAGTAATACATTACTTATTACCTGTAAACAAATGTTCCTTATTTATTATGCTTTGAGCCCTGGGAACAGCCTGAGAAAGTGTTGAAAACCTTAAAAGTCAATGTTAAAAAACCTGGTCATTGATAAGAAAGGCTTATAGACATTGTTAAAAATATTTTTCAATATTCTTCTTTAAGCTGTTTATTACTATACATACCTTATAGCTTTTAAATCTATTTTATAACATTTTCATAATTTGTATTGCCCCCTGTAAATTTGTCTTGAATTGCAAAATTGTTATCATTTTTTTTACATGGTTTGCACTGATGTGTCTTGATTTCAGTTTGTCAATCACCTGTGAAACCCTGTTAACTGCATTCACTTGTATCAAAGATGCTATAGAAGCAAAGTTTGATTCATTGAGTGAAAATCACAGATATACCAGACCTTGACAAATAATATCCCAAATTGACTGAGCTATATCTTGTAAACTGATCATATATCTATCACTCTTCCCTACCCAGAGTCCTGTGCTGCAGTACCTGTACTACCTGACCCAGATCCCCATCGCCATGTCCCCTCTCAGCAACAACAGCCTGTTCCTGGAGTACGCCAAGAACCCGCTGCTGGAGTTCCACCAGAAGGGCCTGATGGTTTCTCTGTCCACAGACGACCCCATGCAGTTCCACTACACCAAGGTCTGAGCCCATGGAGGGAGGGGACAATGGTGCATGCTGTGCTGAATATAATAAGTATTGTATTGCATCTATAAACGATTACATTTTGTTGTACTTACATTGTACATGCAAAGTAATGTTCAGCACACTCAAATGGAAATAGAGTTGGATCTGCATTGAATGAACATGCAGTGTAAGCATACAGTACAACAGGTTTATGCAGAAAATCCGCTGTAAAATACTGGCTTCCACACTTAATAACAAACTTCAATCGGGTGGTATAGCTTTGTCTACAGGATGTATTGTACGCCTCAGGAGCTTGAAGTTGGAGTGATTATCCAAATATCAGAGTGTAAGTCTGTTCGTTATGTCCACAGGAACCCCTGATGGAAGAGTACGCCATTGCAGCCCAGGTCTTCAAGCTCAGTACCTGCGACATGTGTGAGATCTCCAGGAACAGCGTCATCCAGAGCGCGTTGTCTGATGAGGTAACACAGCTGACAGAGAGCTTTAACGGAATACTTTAGCCTTACAAATTATGATTTGTATATAAATCAGAATAAGAATCAGAATCGGGTTAATTACCAAGTAGGTTTACACATACGAGGAATTTGGAAGGGGGGGAATGTGTGGGAGAGAAACTCCCTCTGGAGGGAACTTTGGGATTTAAGCCTTTGCAGAACATTTACATGCACACAAAGCTATATGACACACTACAAGAGAAACCCCCCAAAAGTACAAGAGGACCTCTTTCAATATAATAGATTACACATCCAATCCACATTTAAGGGATTTTATTCTCACAACAAAATGTGCTTGTGGTTCTTTCCTTGTTCCAGGAGAAGAAACAATTCCTGGGTGACGATTACCTGAAGGAGGGTCCGGAGGGCAACGACATCCGTAAAACCAACGTGGCCCAGATCCGCATGGCCTTTCGCTATGAGACCCTGTGCTACGAGCTCCACCGCATCCAGGAGGGCATGAAGTCTGAGTAAACGCACTCAAACTCATCTGTTTGATCTTATGTAGAAAAGTATCTTCATTTGTCTTTCACAGTAACTCTTAAGAAACTGAATCTTAAAGAAACTTGAGCCTTAACACACTAATGTTCTCTCCTTTGGATGAGGAAACTTTTTGTCTTCACTTTATATAATCTGCACACCTTCTTCAATTGATCTGTACATCATAGTATGAGTATTCCATGTGGAGAAACATCATGTATGAGAATGAAAGGAAATAAAATGTAAAATGAGAAGAGTCTTTTGTGGTTGCTTTCATATTTCATAAATGAATCAGGATTACATTGCAACAATATTTACTTGATTGCAGGATCTAGTCTTGTGTTGATTTTCTGATTTAGCTTTCCTTATAAGCTCTAAATGAGTCTCCTTTAAGAGTTTAGCTGCATATACATGTTGCTGTATCAGCAGAATGAAAGGGGAACATGTACATGAGTAATGAACGTATTGGTCTGAGTTGCACAGTGCATCACTTTTTCTGTTAGTTATAGACTGAGCTATCACGGTGTTTGTCATTCCAATGAAGACACACCCCTAATTTTATTGAACATCGAAACTGGAACAACTGGAACAACAAAGGTTAACATTTGCTATATCTTAGCTAGATTTTGTTCCCAATATATCCTGTTTCATTGATTTAAGTCTTGGATTTCTTTGAAAGGTTTAAAGGACTAAAGTAAGGACTTAAACTACTGTAGGCTCCTAGTTTTGTGTACCATGGTATGCAATAACTACAGAACAGATCTAAATCATATGCTGAGTATATGATTTAGATTTGACTAATATGATGAGTCTCCACTATCAAAATATTAAAGTGCGTTTCAAAATTCTACTTAAAAATGATTATCTGCTGAAAAACTGGCATTGATTAAACACATTACTTATACAATTATATTAACAGCAGTTTCAGATGTTGTTACTATATGAATAAAAGTAAAGTCCCCAGTCACATTTATTAGCTCGTGGAGTCTCGCAGATGCAACTCATAAACACGATGTCCATATTTCCCATGACACTTGAAGACAACAGTATTTATTCATCGTTGACAGCTGCAGGACTTGATGTGATGACGTCTTCCCTCTTGTCTTCCAAACTTTCTCACAATCAAATCTGCGTCAAGCTGTAGGTAAACACCAAGAGTAAAACCGGAATGTAAATGACGTGCCATGAAAATAAGAGGAACTTGATTATTATTAAACACGGATATGGAATGGGTCACCGGTAAACTTAATTTAAAAAATAACATTCACGTGTGAGGAACAAGTAGGAAAAATAAGGTTTCAGGCGGATTGGATTTTTACACACAGTTTTTCATGATTTTCTTAAGCGCGTCTTTCTTAATGGCAATTTTGACGTTTCCTAACTTCAATGAAAGTTATTTTCCTATAAATAATAATGACAAAATCTGAAAAACATCCCCCCAACTGAAGTTTTTATTGAAAATAAATATACTTCTAAAATACATTATAAGATAATACTGAAAATATTTGATCAAAAATATATAAATAAATACTAAGCTTTAAAACATTTAGCTACAATGAATTGTGTAATGTCACATCAAAGTTGTAATTAACAGTTTTGCGCTTGTCAGTAAGAAACTTTATTGTGAACGTTTTAACCGGAAGTAGGGATGTTTCTGACCGCCTTGACACTAACTGTCCTGAGCAGGAGGGCGAGGAGTGCTTCACTTTTCTCTAGTAGTCCATGGACACTTCCTTTGTTGTTGTGTCTAGTTATTAGAAAAGTGGACACATTTTTTTTCGTCATTAAAGTATTTTCTATTGAAAGTATTTTTAAATAAGTTAACTATAACCAGCTGTGGACTACAACGCCTGGACTTTGTGAGGCTGCTAACCTCCCCGGTTTGAACGATGCCAGCGAGTGTAACGTTACTAGGATTTTATTTGCGTTTTTTTATTTTATCGACAGAAAGATGATGAAAGAGCATACGTTTTGCTTAAACTAGAAGGGGTAAGTCACGACACATGTAATTTGTCTCTTTTCCCCATGTGGTGTTATGGAATGAGTATTGATGTCTTATCACTGGTGACTAGGTTAGTGTCTCTTCAACAGCTAGCTAGCAATGCATGCGTTTATGTAAAGAAAGAGTACCCTGCTTCATTCAGCTACCAAATATAACGGGTAACTCTGCTATGTTTTCCCCAATACATGCAGGTTTATCGATATAGCGGGTGATATTTCAATCAAACTAAGTATTAAACATGACTTTGTATCAATACATCCTGCTGTTTAATTCGGCATACTTCCACAACTTTAAACAGAGAAGTATAGTCAGATCTTGTACTTAAGTCAAAAAATAAGTACCATAATCTAGGAATACTCTGTTATAAGTAAAAGTCCTGCAATCAAAAATGTTACTTGAGTTAAAGTGCAACAAGTATTATCATTAAAATATACTTCCAGTACCTAGAGTATAAGTACACATTTTGCTGATCCATTTCAGGATAATAAGTATGTATGTATGTATATATTATGTTATTAGTGTTATATAAGATGGTAAAGGTGCAGCTCATTTTAATAAGTTTGTATACTGCAGGGTAGCTTCTGAATTTACTCCAGGTACATTTTTATGTAAGTGTTGTTTATATTTCATATCATTATACAAAATATTCAAAGTAACTAAAGGTATTAAATAAATGTAGTGGAGTAAATGTACACGATTCACCTCTGAATTGGAGCGGGGTAGAAGTACAGAGTAGCAAACAATTGAAATACTCAAGTACAAGTCTCTCAAAAATTGTACCTAGGTACTGTACTTAAGTAAGTGTATTTGTTACTTTAACCACTGTTCAAGGGTAACTTGTATCCTTTATCGACTTTGTCACCTAAACAAGTTTAACCTGGTGTTAAGGCTGTGTTAGAGTTAGCCACTTCAGTTATCTTTGCCTTTTGCTAAGGCCGAATACTAAGTAGCTCCTTATATGTCAGTGATTTAACTAATGTGTTGCAATAAGAAATCACTTTTTTAATTGCTTTAGTTTTAAAGGGAGTTTGGCAATATAATTTCTTCATAAAAAGAACAGTGAAAATGTTTCCGCCATCTGCATATAACCCTTTACTGCAGTAAAGTCATTGATTACACACTTTATACAGCAATACGAGGAATTTGGCACATTTAGAAATTGTCTACTTTTATTATTAGTTTATGAGTTTATGGAATAGTTTGGAGACATTGTCAGCACAGTGGTATCCACAACAAATGATATCATGTTAAAGTGGACTATCACTCTTTCAATGGTCCTGTCAAAATTAAAGGGTGTGTTGCTCAAAACAGTGGTGATGGATCAGTCATTTTTAGGCACTTAATCTTGGTGTGTCCTTTCTCGCTGGCATTTAGCAAACCCACATTTTCTTTTATTATAGCTTTAACTGTCACTGTTGACGGTGAACCACAGGCGTGCAACACCTCGCCTTCAACATGTTGGGTCATGCCGCGCATCGTCAGGAGGGCGTTTTGTGGTGCTTTTGAAGGCACAATTAGGTTTGATTTACCTGCCTCTGGATGAGGGGGTGCTTCAGCTTTACAGGTCCTGCATCTGGTTTCTACGTGGATGAGTCAGTGAGTTTCACTAGAGTTACCTTTCTGCAGAGTTGACGGCCTAATAAAACGTCAGTGAAGTTCATTTGAACCTGCAGATTTGTCATTTAATACCACCTCATGGTGTGCCTCACCGCTTTAACCATGGGAAATGGGAAGCTGACACTGCTTGCAAATGTTACTGAAACCAGCTGTTCTGGATTTACCATGTTTCAAAGACAATATTTGATTACTATCACAGGGTTTGAATGTAGATGATCCAAACATAGCTCAAATCAGTGGTTTTCTACTGGGTGCAAATCTCTCTGCACAATAATTATGGACAGTCTGCTGATCCCTCTTCCTGCAGCTCGGGAAGTGCAACTCATGCCTTCCTGTGCAACGTACCGCACACAGACAAATATTGCAAGTGGGTCAGTTTGGGAGTGGGAGTCGCATTGTCATCACAGGGTCTGGCAATGATTGAGCAGCATTCTGGTGCATACATATATTTGATTTAGGTCAAACCAAACAAAGGCGTCACTTTCAAGACTGACTGACCGACTGTCTCTGGTTAAATGTATTCCACCAAGCCCCCCTCTTGTCGTCTCTTGTCGTCTCTGCAGGAATGCAGCTCATAGCGTTATTATGATCATGAGCTGTGCAGTGGAATTTTACCATGTCTCCCCTTCTCCGCATTTCTCCCAGCCTCGGTCCTAATGTGCAACGTGTCCAAACGGTTTGGTTCCAGCAATCCAGGAGCTGCTGTGTAAGAGCGTACAGTGCAGCATTGATGTTGGATCAGGGAATATGAGGAGGGGGGGATGCCGCTGCAGAACTTTACATCAAGTGTTTGATAGCAGACCATAGATTATAGCTCTTTAATCTAATCTAATCATAGCTCAAAGGCATCATTTAATCAGTCTGTTTTTATTTTGCGTCTGATGAAATGTACACTATTTAAAGAGCTTTTATTCCACTGCGTAGATACTGTAGGTGTGGTTAAAGCGTTTTCTATCTTTCGCTTAATTTTCAGTTGGCTCATTACCTTGAAAATCAAGTGTTTTCTTGCCTTTCAAGTTCTTTGAAACCACTTAAAAATGCACATTCCTCCCACTCATCGGAAAGACAGTTTTGCAGGATTACTAAATTAGATTTAATTCAATCATTGGCATTTTCTATGGGCCAGCTGTGCGGATAAGGACGACGACTACAGAGTAGACAGAATTCCCCTGAGGCCAGATAATTAGGATTGGGGCTGCTCAAGACACACAGCAGCAGAAATCTGCAGTAACCTTGTTCCTGTCACTGTCTTTCCTTATTCTCCCGGGAATTGATTTTTGGAAACAGACCTTGACAGGAGCCTGTCCTTCCTGACCCTCTCTGTCCCTTCCTACAAGTAGTAGAAGGCTTCAGATGTGTGTTTTTTTAGAAGTAACTGTCCTCCTGTGTTGCCTCGGTGTCCCTTTGACCCCGCGAGGTGCTGCCTGGACTTTTTTGTAAGTACAGTGATTTATGAGTCATTTGTGTCTTCTTCTCTTCTTTTTAGGTCGTTTACAAAAGGAGATACGGGGGAAATGACACTCTGCTAGCACAGGAAGACTTCTAAAGAAATCAAGGATCAGTAACAACTCTAAACCTTGTGGCGTTCCTGCTTTTCTGGATTATTTGACCACCGATTACGTGGCTTCGCCTATCCGTCTTTGTAAAGAAATCCCTGATGCCTTCACTTGCCCCCTCTCATCATGCTGGCTCTGAGGCTGGAGCAGGGCAGGCGAGGGGGTGGTGAAGTTGACCTCCTGCAGAAAGGGGCCACTGTGGCTCGGCAGTCGGGGAGGCCCCCTACTCAGGAGCAGGGCATCAACATCAGGCAGAAGATCTCCCAGTGGGAAGGTCGCAGCCAGGATGCCGGGGTGAAGGCACATCCTCCGACTGTATCCCGAACTCTATCTGGAGAGGTCCTCAGCAACGGATTTCCCAATGAGGGATTGAGAGGGGGGCTTCAGGGGAAACCAAACCTCTCCAAATCTATGACTCTGGGATTGGATTTTCGGGAATCCCCAGCACGGGCTGAACATGTGGTTGGTAGGAAGTCAGAACCTCTGCAGAAATGTTCCACAGAATTTTCAACCACAACCCCGGGGAATAAATCACTTGTAAAACAAAGGTTTGTGTCTCCCAAAGTGGAGAGCAACACTACAGATAAACCAACCCTCATTGCCAATGGAGACCGAAAAACGGGTCGTATCTTGGATGTCGACGCAGTTTCTAAACTTCTACCTCTATCGATGGACGACCAAAATGACAACATTCCTGCTGGAAACTTCTACACATCACGGGGTTTCTGGCGTAAGCTGGAGGGGGACAGGCTGCTCTGGCAGAAAGGCCGGGACTCTACAGGTGCAGTCCAGCCTCCTCCCAAACCTCTGCGGACATTCCAGTATCAGGGATCCAAAGACAACGATGCGGTGCGATGGGAAGGCAGATCCACCCACAACAACCGCTCCAGGAGTAGGAGGGTGGCCCACCCACCCAGCTTCCCGCCTCCTCCATGTCCCGTAGCAAAGACCAATGGACTTTCAAGGCATACAAAGAACAGGTGAGGCACTGAAAGAGTTTTGAATTTTTTTTAATTTCTTGCAGTGCTTTATTCAATTGATGAAAACTGCTCCTGCTGAAGGAATAAGGAAACTCACTCGGCACATAAAATGTTCTGCTTTAGACTGCTGCTAAAACAGATTTTATGTAATATCAGCAATGTTTTTAGAGCAATTGTGAGGAGGAGTGTAATTGTTGGCCCGGGTTCCGGGTGTGATGTCACATGATATCAGGCAGCATTGTTCTCTATTGTCTGGATGTGGCCTAGTTCCTCGGGTCCAGGGTCATCATCTGCAGGCTTGCCCACACCCTTTCACACTCACTTTCTCTCATTGGCTGAAGGCTTAGCAAAACAAGAGATAACTTGTCACGTTTAGCTCAGGACTCATTAGGTGACGTACTGTAGTTCTTTTTAACTGTCATATCCTGATGTCGTCATAAAACACTGTTCAGGAGCCACTGACAGAATAGGATAATAAGCAAAGAGATTGAAGACAAGACTCTGAAGATAAGGGGGCCATATTATTTCAAAGTGGCCATATTATGCTCTATGGGGTTTTCACTTTCCCGTAGTGTGTTATATGGGTGCTCGAGCTTTCAGCTGCTCGGCTCCCAGACTCTGGAACTCCCTGCCACTCCATATCCGACAGATTCCACAACATTCAAAACCCACCTGTTCAAACTGGTATTTTCTTTATAAACTGTAACCTGTGTCCTTCTGTAGTCCATTTCCTGTCGTTTGTCTTGTTTTATCCCGGCTGATATTTCACTATATCCACTGTTTTAATTGTTCCCTATATTGCCCCTATGCCCTGTAAGGTGTGCTTCCGAAAGGCGCCCCCAAATAAAATGTATTATTATTATATAGATTTTTGTGCATGTAAATGGTCTGCAAAGGCTAAAATCCCAAAGTACCAAAAAAAATGTCCTCCCCTATAAAGACCTTTAGAACATTAAAGCATGGACACATTTTGCAGTTGAGGCACAAAGTACAATTATGAACCTGAAAATTAGCACTATTGGGCCCCTTCAACTTTTATGCAAAACTGCACTTAACTGTTCAAAAAGTTGGCTAAATATAACAAGATGATCCCCAAGTAGATTTGATCCTAAACAATCTGGCAAAACTGCACCCAATAATAAAGGTACAATGTTACCATTATACTCATTTGTATTGTTTGGTTCATTTTAATAACTTGCAGAGGTGGGACCAAGTCATTGTTTTGCAAGTCACAAGTTAGTCTCAAGTCTTTGCCTTCAAGTCCCGAGTCAAGTCCCGAGTCAGAGACAGGCAAGTCCCGAGTCAAGTCCCAAGTCAAGACCGACAAGTCTCAAGTCGAGTCCCAAGTCCTACCGTTTGAGTTTCGAGTCCTTTCGAGTCCTTTTAACAACAGGGAAATAATATTTACACAGATCATGTATGCTTTTAAGATTTGTATACATTTATTAAACCTTTTTTTAGTCTAAGAACATTGTTCCAAACTTCTTGGTTTTCACCGTACAGGATAGAGGAAGGGTTCAATCGAGTTTGAATGAGTGACGGACGTGGTTCGTTGTTGTAAGTTCTACCAAATATCACTTAAACCCTTGTCTCTCCGTAGGACGACGTCAGTTGTGTTTACCTTAGGTTGTGACTCCGTTTCATTTTCCGTCAAGTAGGTGACACTAGTATATTTCGAGGAACGGGCAAGATGTCAAATCCTGTATTGCGTCTATGTACACTGTAGTCTGTCAGGAAAATGTTGTCACTTTATGATAAATGTCCTTCTACTACCTGTACGAACTTCTAAACCTCTTACAGTTTGGACTAAACACGTGTCCTTGTTACAGAGTGTCTGTCACGTAAAAAAGTAGGAGTACAGTTTGTGGACTTTCGACATTCGAGATATTGCGAAAAGTTTCTACAGTGGCTGAATATTTTCTATGAGGTCCGTAGGGACTTGTTTTCTAATAGATCCTAGATGTATCACTTTATCGGTAAGTTACCGTAGTGTTCTAGGGACAACGTCTGAGGTCCGATTTTAGTTACGTACGTAGGTATCTCTCTGACCACACACACACACACACACACGTACACGACCAGATAGACACTATAGCTCCGTCTCACACACGTACTGTCACATACTCATACTGTACACTGCAAGATACGTTGACAAAGAGCATTCACACTAGATTACTCACGTAGTTACATACACGCAACAGTCACATAGTGTCATGTGTTTTGGATACACCATTACTCTCTCTATCTACATGACGATAACTATCTCTCTTCTCTGTCTCTCTCTAGGGACGCTCTTCTCTGTCTCTGACTCGCACTCTCTGGTCTCTGAAGCACCAATTCTCTCTCGTCTCTTACTCAGGACTCTCTTTCTCTCTCTCTGACGCACGACTCTCTCTGTCTTCTCTCTCTTAACTTCCCCTGACCTAACCTTTCACAGTACTTGTGACTGGTCGTGATGTCACACGAAAAGATTCAGTCGCGATACGAGCGAACGTAAATGTTTTCCTAGCTTAACCCTGTGCGGGAAAACAAAGACCCGTGACTTGTACTTCTGAGAAGGAAGTGAGAAGGCTCACCGGTGGTCTCAGGAACCGTCACGGACTCAAAAGTCGGGTACCCAACCGTAGTATGATGCAGGGGTAGCCACGTGTTTACTGGTCTGTCTGGAAACCGGTTAAACTAGAAAACATTTTACGTTACGTCGTTATCCCGGGACTGTATCTTTTCGTGTTGAGACAAAGTAACGGTACAAGTTATGTGAAGGTTAGGTCAGGGGAAGGGTTAGAGAAGAGAGTAGAAGGAGAGTGTGCGTCAGGGAGAGAGAGAAGAGTGTGCGCAGAGGAGGTGTGCGTCAGAGAGAGTGCGCGTCAGAGAGAGAGAGAGTGTGCGTCAGAGAGAGAGAGGAGAAGAGGTGTACGCAGAGAAGTGAGAGTGTGTGTGTGCGTTCAGAGAGAGAGAGTTGTGTGTGTGTGTGTGTGTGTGTGTGTGTGTGTTGTGTTGGTGTGTTGTGTGTTGTGTGTGTGTGGTGTGTGTGTGTGTGTGTGTGTGTGTGTGTGTGTGTGTGTGTGTGTGTGTGTGTGTTGTGTGTGTGTGTGTGGTGGTGTGTGTGTGTGGTCAGAAGAGATTACCTGCGTTACGGTTAACAAAATAGTTCCTTCGTTGTCCTTGGACTATTTCGTACTTACATAATGTACATCTATATAAATCTATTAATAAAACCCTGCCTCCCTATAGAAAATATTTCACCCACTGTTACAAACCTTTTCCAATTCCCAATGGTGGAATCCAAAACTTTACTCAATT